AAAAAAAAAAAAAAAAAAAAACAGGAAGAGGAAACAATTTGGGAAAGGGTCCCCGAAGAGGGTGGCAGACAGGGACGAAGGGGCGCTTCACTGTGCTGTCTGGATACTTCTCTGTTTGAATATAGTTTTTCCAACCAGTCAGGATATATATGTGTATCCTTTGAAACACTTTCGGGACACACACACACACACACACACACACAAGAGGATTGCTTGAGACCAGGAGTTCGAGGCCAGCCTGGCCAACATAGCAAGACTCCCATCTCTTAAAAAAAAAAAAAAAATCACAGGACATTATGAGACGAGAGAAGTGTTAGTATCATCACTCCTATTTAATTAAAAGAGAGATAGCCGGGTGCGGTGGCTCACACCTGTAATCCCAGCACTTTGGGAGGCAGAAGTGAAAGGATTGCTCGAGCCACAGGAGTTTGAGACCAGCCTGGGCAATTTGGCGAGACCTCAGCTCTACAATAAATCAAAAAATTAGCCGGGCGTGGTGGCGCGCGCCTGTGGTTCCAGCTACTTGGAAGGCTGAGGCGGAAGAATCACCTGAGCCCAGCAGGTCGAAGCTGCGGGGACCGTGAGCGTGCCACCGCACTCCAGCCTGGGCGACAGAGTGAGACTCCAACTCACAAAAAAGAGGGAGAGATGAAAACACATACATGTCCCCGTGGCTCCTTCCAGCAGCCCCTTTCATCTGAAAAGCCCCAAACAGTCCACGCTTTGCTCACCAGCGAGCTTCGAACTGTCCCTCCCCGCAGGGTTTCCTGGTCACAGCCCTCCAAGAGTCTCTCTCCAACATCAGGACCCCACAGGCAGAGTTAGCCAATCACAGCCCTTCAGGACCCCCAGCAATCCAAGCCTGTGGCGGCGCCCCCTATAGCGTGCTGCTCGGTCACTGTGCCCCCAGAACCTTCCGCGGTCAGAGGTTCCCCCCAAACACCCGCCTCTGGGTTACTGTGACACCAGAATATTCTGCCCCGGGACACTCTGTCCCCAAATCCTGCCCCCGCACGCCCCCAAATCCTGTCGCGGGTCCCCGTCCCCCGA